CACCACCCGCGGGCCGCCGGCGGGCACCCCCTGCTCGACCGCTTCGTGCACCTGCTGCTGGGGCCCGCCGCCTCGCTGGCGCCGTGCGCCGCGCCGGGCGCGCGCCCCCCTCCGCGGGAGTCACCAGGTCGGGCGTGCCCCTCCACAGGAGGAGTATCCAAACACAGCCCCCCAACAAGTAGGTCGGGGGGCGATGTTTTGTTTTGGCCACGTCTTGGCATCGCTTGAACCTTTTAGGGGTATCTCTGGCGTCCCAAATGCGCCTGTAGGGGGACGGGCCCGACCTGACACCACTTCGCGCGCGCGCGCGGCTGGCGGGGGCGCGCGGCCCGGCCTCGGCAGCGGCCAAGTGATCCCCATCTCGGCTTGTGGCTCAGGGGCGGCACAGAGGGGGGTGTGATGACTAGGGGGAGGGGTGGAGATCATGCCGGGGGCCAGGATATCTCCCCAGATCTCATGGCGCCTCTTCTTGTTTCGTTTGAGTCCCTGGCCCCCCCTTCCCCTGGGCCGCGCACATGCCGCCGGCCATGATTTGCGCCCCCCCCCCCCCCCGCTCTTGGACGCCCCCGTCTTGGCCGCCCCGGAGATCCCCATCTCGGCTTATGATGTTCCAACCTGTGGCCCCATAGGGGGCTCCACCGAAGCCCCCAGTGGGACCGTCCGCATGCGTCCCGTAAACCCAATTTGGCATTTTCACTCACTCAGTAGAGCGCTTCGTTGCCCCATAGGGAGCTCCACCGAAGCCCTCAGTGGGACCGTCCGCATGCGTCCCGGAAACCCAATTCGGCACACCACCCACACAGTACAGCGTTCCCCCCCGCCCAGTGCAGCGCTTCGTGGCCCCATAGGGAGCTTCACCGAAGCAGATATTCACAATTACGTTACCCACAAGTGCATATGGCTGGGACTTTCGCCAGGATTTTTTTTTTGTTACCTCTCCTTTTTTCTCCACTATTCTCAGAGACGTCCGATTCATATCGGTCCGATTTTGTCTCGAATTTGCCTTCGTCTCAGGTCTGGGTCGCCGTCATCACGGGCGGCCACCGCCACGCGCCACGCCCGGGCCCGACGACGACGACGACGGCGACGACCACGACCACGAACACGACCACGGCCACGACGGCGGGGGCGGCGACGACGGCGACGACGACGGCCACGACGGCGACGACGACGACGACGACGGCGACGACGACCACCACGACGACGACGACGACGGCTACAACGCCCCTCCCCTCCAGGCGAGGCCTCCCCCTACGGCGCCCGGCTGCTCTGGAGGCGCGCCAGCCTCCGCCCCGCCCCGCCCTGCCCGCCGCACCGCGCGCCGCCGCGGCCAGCCCCTGGGGGGGTTGGGCATCGATGTCGGTATCGTCGTCGGCGTCGTCGGCGTCGTCGTCGTCGTCGCCGCCGTGGTCGCCGTCGCCGTCGCCGTCGTCGCCGCCACCGTCGCCGCCGTCGCCGTCGCCGCAGTCGTCTTCGTTGTCGCCGCCGCCGCCGTCGTCGTCGTCGTCGTCGTCGTCGTCGTCGTCGTCGTCGTCGTCGTCGTCGTCGTCTGCGTCGCCGCCGTCGTCGTCGTCGTCGTCGTCGTCGTCGCCGTCGTCGTCGTCGTCGTCGTCGTCGTCGTCGTCGTCGTATTCGTTGTCGTCGTCGTCGCTGTCGTCGTCGTCGTCGTCGTCGTCGTCGCTGTCGTCGTTGCCGTCGTCGCTGTCGTCGTTCTCGTCGTCGTCGTCGTCGTCGTCGTCGTCGTCGTCGGGGCTCATTGGCGAGGGGGCTTAGCCCGGGTCTTCCGAGCGCCCGTGCGGCGTCTGCCTCGGATACCTGGACCCCCTCCAGCAGCCTGCGCTCCACGAGGGTCTGCGGACGGCGTCGCTGGCTGTCCTGGTGCGCCCTGTCGCGGTCCACGTCTACGGGCAACGTTCGGGGGAGAGGAGGAGGACGAAGAGGAGGAGGAGGAGGAGGAGGAGGAGGAGGAGGAGGAGGAGGAGGACGAGGAGGGGGCAGGAGGAGGAACAGGAGGAGGAGCAGGAGGAGGAGCAGGAGGAGAAGCAGGAGGAGGAGCATGAAGGAGAGAGGAGGGAAGGAGAGGAGGAGGAGGAGGAGAGAGAGGAGATGAGGAGGCGGGGGGGAGGAGGAGGCGGAGGCGGAGGCGGAGCGGGGCGGAGGAGGAGGAGGAGGAGGAGGATGAAGAGGAGGAGGAGGAGGAGGACGAAAAAGAAGACGACGAATACGAATAATAATGATAATGTTAACCAATAGTACGAATAGTAATAAGACGAATACTAAGACGAACAAAACGAATCATACTACGACGAATAACAAGTGGCACGTGTGTGCCCAGGCTCATACAACAAGCTGAAGGGGCGTTTGAAGCAGGAGTGACATGCAACAGCGAAGTCGCACTCGAGCGCAAGTGGGGTTGCCACATCTTGCGATGTGTGTACCAGGGCCCCCCAGGAAGCCTCAGGAGGCCCGACTTGGATACCAGAAGAGGCTCCAGGAGGCCCCAGGATTGTGAGTGTTGTGTGTGTGATGTGTGCTTTGTGTGGTGCGTGCGTTTTGTGTGTTGTCGGTGGTGTGTGTGTATGTTCTGTTTGTCTAGCGTGTGATGTGTTGGGCGTGATTGGTGTCTCTGTGTGTGCATGTAGTTCTGAAGCCCCAGGAGGCCCCAGGAGGCCCCAGGCGGCCTCAGCAGGCCCAGGAGAACTCCAGGAGGCTCCGAGGCGGGGTCTGGGGTACCAGAAGGTCCAGAAAACCCCAGGAGGCCCCAGGAGGTTCCAGGAGGCCCCCAGGAGGCCCCCAGGAGGCTCCGAGGAGGGGTCTGGGGCTCGATTTTGGGAGGATGTCTCAGGCGAAACCGCCATTCTCTGAGAATCGGGGTCAAAATTATTGAAATTACCATGTGTTTTTGAAGGTGTTATGTTAAAATGTTGAAATTCCTATGTGTTTTTGGACCTCTCCTTCACGATCTGCGTGAGGGGTGCCACCGATTTTCAGAATTTTGAGGATGTCCCTAGCGAAACGGCCGGGAAAATCGAAGACGCACGCACGCACGGACGCACGGACGCATTAATCCCCTCTGAGCTCTACTCCCTCGGAGAGGTGCGTATGAGAATATCAATGATAATACTAATAATACTATTAATAAGAAGCAGGCGGAGCAGACTACGAATCCACATACGAATACTACTACGAAAAAGACGAAGAAACAGACGACACATACGACGACGATCAATAGTAAGAAGAGTAATACGAATCATACTAAGACGAATAATACTAATAATATTATTTATAATAATAATAATACTAATAATAATGGCACAGCTAATACTACTACTAA